TTCAAACAGCAAACTCTTACTCTAAACCAAATCAACGGTCTAAAAACATGCCTACCAGTGAGAACTATGTATAACAGTTTCACATAATATTTTGGTTGTTCCTGCAACCTTCATCAGCTTGTAATTGAAGAAAATATCAAATTGATCTTACAAATCATCGAAAGAGATTAGCATAGGGTGTTCTACTGTTATCAAAAGTGAAAAAAGTATAGTTCATGAGAGTAAGAACGGCATACAAGTGTTTTAGATATATTTAAATAACTAAGGCATTCAACATCCTGTACAATTAAATTATTAAAATCAATGGCATTCATGCAAGTCCTGAAAAATTAAAAGAAAAAAAGCATACGCAATAGGCTAAAACAAGACTATTAGCATATAATCTACTTTAGTACACAAATAGCATCTTTACATGAGATGCAATAATAAGGCATCAAAAATGTCAAGGAGATATAACAATCTTTGGTAAAGACAAGAACATTGTTAAGGCTTTGTATATGTGATTTGAATCTGAATTATCAAATAAATTTCTGCAGATGTTTTAAAACCTAGTTTACTTCTTACTTGTGTAATTGATTTTTTTTTTATGCATTAACCAACTGCGCCATTGGCGATTCTTTTAGAATTAAATTCCGATATTAAAGAAACTAATTCTTCACACCCTTTAGAGCATGTATATGTATTATATATACGTATAAAATGGTTGTGGATGTAGCAATGTTCCTAACATGTCACCGTATGCAGTTGTAATATTATATACATACTTTATTTTTTGAACATTTTAGAACAGAAAACTTCAGGACTACTCGGAAATGCAGATTTGTTATTTTGGCCTATGATTGGCTAAAAATTTGGATAGAAAGTCAAGTGAGGCATTGGCTCAATACAGTATATGCACTGATGCACTTAGCAGCAACGAATTTTATTTCATATGCTTGCCAATAATGTCATTGATGTGTCTGGTGACTATCATATCAAAATAGTGTAAAATACTGTGGTTTAATATAATTCGTGTTATAGTTACAATGCTGCTGTTTCACTGTCAATGTGAATTCCATGATAGATAGACCTACTGCATACCGTTAACATACTGAAAGTAAAAACAAATTCAACCATGGCAGGCGTTGATATGGAAGAACTAATGGATGAATATGCCAGTGAAAGGATCACACAGGAAATGGGTGATAGATTAGCAAAAATCTCCGCTCGTAGGATTCAAGAAGAAATTGCTAAGTATGTGATATGGAAATTGTTTCCAGTAGAGATACACAGGGTCGGAAGTTCGCAAGAAGGCTTTCCTGCATCAGCTTGCAGTGATGAGGACTCCATGATCTGTAACACAATGTTTCCAATAGTACTGTGGACATCCTTCCCTAAAAAAGTAGGGGGGAATTTTGTAATGGCCGAGAAAGATGCAAATAATCCAGTGTATTTGAGCCTTAAAGTAGTTGACAAAATGTGTCTGGATGAGGATTTCAGAAATATCATTGATAACAATGGATATTTGAAAACCAGTGATTTCTTAAAAGCTAACTTCATCAAGGGTATTTTTCCAAATTTAGACACTGAAATGAGACAAGGTCCCTCAACAGTAAAACAGTTAAATGCAGAATTTATAGACATCAGATCAGAACCTATAGACACAGTATATTGCTTGAAATGTCAATCATGGCCGCCATTCACTAGTAACTTTTTTGCTAGAGAGAAGCTAAACAACTGGCCATCACAGAAGTTGTTAGACAAGGTCAAAAGTCTTGAATGTCATGTAGTTCCTGTTGGATGCCCAGGTAGTGAGTCTGATATTAAATGGAGATTGTCATTCTCGATAGCAGAGAGAGAGCTCATTACTGAAATGTATGAACCATATGCTAATTGCATGTTTTCCCTGAAATCAATCAAGAAAAACTATATAATATTCAGTGATTCTGAAAAACCGACACCATTCTGCTCATATTTCATAAAGACTGCTTGTTTGTGGATGTGTGAAACATTTCCACATAGAGAATACAGTCTTATGGATTTAATCAGACAAATTTTAGATTGGCTCATTGATTGCTATCAACACAAACGTCTGCCTCATTATTTTATTCCTCAACAAAATATGATTGGTCATCTCTCAAGAGAACGTTGTGACATTGTTAGACAAAAGTTGACAGCAGTTAAGACAGATCTTTGGAGAAAAGTGCTATTAAGTATCGATAGTGATACAAATTATAAATATTACTCTAAGTTTAACTTTCTTGGTGATAGAGACAGTAGAGTGCAGGAGATGGGGCAACGGTACAGAACTTTTGCAGAGCTAGTAACCATCGGGAGACTTATGAATCATCCAATTACTACGGAGTTGATTACTTATCAACTGCGTGCTTTACGCTCCAGATACAATTTAAATCATAATTTAATAATGGAACAATGGGCTGGGCACGACTTCTATTTGTATATTGAAACTCTCACAAGCCACAGCCAGGAGAATATTTTACTGGCTCTTAGAATTCCAGAGAACAGTATATTACCAATTATAGAGCAAATTGAAGAGTTAGTGCCAATGGGATATGCAGAAATGTTCAAGACACGTTTGTATAGATTCTTGGGTGATGTTTATACTCATTTATTGGTGCCATTCCGAAACAAAGGCTATGATGATCTTCTAGATTATAGGCATGCTCCTTTGTATTACTATGACTTAGGAGCTAAAATGGTATTCCCCGACAACCACAGTGACCATGGAATAGGTAGTCTTGTTCTTGAAGTACAATATCACTATTTAATGGGCAACTACACAGAACTAAAGATGATGTGTGAACCTATACTTGCAATGGCCAAAAACCGTAGAAATACTAGGCTAGCCAGCATTGAATTATGCTTAGAGAAACCTTTGTGAGTCAACGCCTGGGCGACTGATGAGCTTTTGTTTCATCTTGTTAAACGAACCAAAATATTGAATGTTTATCTGCATCCAATTGCACTTGTTCTTTATATAAAAGCCAGAGTATTACTTACTGAAGGGGACACAGAGAATGCATTGCAAGTTGTGACAAAGATGAAAGAATTCAGAGATGAGCTATATAATATTATGTATCATAAAACCATCAATATGTTTATCACAATCATTGAAAGTCTAGTAGGCCTTCTTGTTGTCATGAGAAGAATTATTGTCCAAAATGATGATAGCCTGTAGTGGGGAAAAACTTTTTTTTTATCTTTTGTGGGGGTCATCCCACCTTTATCCATCACAAAGACAAAACATTTTTTATAAGCAACATTGTGGTTACACAATCATCATACTGCAGAAATTGTTGGCATACGTTTTTAAAATGATTTGTTCAGTTAAAATTATCCAAAATATCTTCAAATATGTCTTTCTATCATAAAAAGTTGGAAAACTGAGGTGTGACACCATTTGTTGAGATGTTTTAGGACGTTTGCTTTGTAAATGCAAAACGTTCCTAATGAAAACAGATGGTCTATATAAACGTTTAATGTACCAAGCACAATATTTTTAAAATTTGCTTCAATACCATAATTAATAAGGCTAAAATGATTAATAGAATTCACAGGTCATGTGATTCTGTACAATAAAAAAAAAGTGTGCGTCATCTTCAACAACATTGCACTTTGGACATGTATTATCCTCGATAATTTTCCATGTATGTAACCTTTTCCTAGTAGGAACAATACAGTGTAATATTTTAGAGTTTATCTGTTAAGCTTGTTTTCTTTGATAGATTTCACTTTCCATGACCAGGTAAGTTCCTAGTCAAAGGTATGCCACTTTGACTGAGAAATTGTAGGTTCTAAACATTTTGTTTTTATAATAAACAATTATAAATTTGTTTACTGTTCATATTGCAGCAATTGTTTACTACTTGTTGTGCATCATTTTGTTTTACATTTTCATTTTTTGAGAATATAATATTCTTCCATTCCTGTGGAATTGCCATCATTAATTTAGAAAATTCTGATATCCAATTTGATTTATGATTTAACAATAATAATAGCTTATTTGAATTAATGAGGTCGTAACCAATTACAATATCTTTCATTTTGCGAATACCGGATCTAATCCAGTTTCTATATAACAAAGAAAATCCATTATGATACATTATTAATTTCTTTCCCCGAATTTGCTGCTCCATAATTACCTCATAGCATGTTGGATGTTTTATTAAACTTTCGTTACATTGGGCTAATGCATGAAGTAATGACAAGTAAAAACCGTGTAATTTTTTACAGAGTTTTTGCTCACAATTCATATGCAAAATATTTTTAATTATATTTCTTGGGGCAAGCTTATTAAAGTACATCATTGGCAAGTGTTTCCAATTTGCTACATTATCATTATACAAACGTTTTACCCAAGATAATTTAATGGAAAGTACTTGGGATTTAAAATCAGGGGCCCTATTACCACCGCACTTATACGAATTAATGAGATTTAATCTTTTTATTTTTTCCTTTTTTTTGTATCCCATATGAAGTCAAAAACAATGCGATCAACTTCTTTGATGACTCTTTCAGGTGTTTCAATAACACTTGTATTGTACTTTAATTTAGACAATCCAAGTGTTTTTAGAATTAATTTTTTTCCAAAAGTAGTTAAATTTGTTTTTCGCCATGTATCTAGTATTTTTTTTAAAGATTCTATTTTGTCAAGTCAATTTGTTTGTTTGTTTTATTAAAACACAAGTCATGGTCATGACCAACATATATTCCGATGATTCTGAATGCATCTGATACCCATTTGATATCGTATGGACTATCAATTCTTTTTTTATTATTATTGTCCTAACCACATATTATTTGTTTTTTCTTTATTTAGTTTTAGTCCAGAAACTTTTCCGAATTCCACAATTTTATGTAAGCTTTTTTGTATACTGATTTCATCATTGATAAATAGAACCGTGTCATCAGCAAGTTGTTCAATTTTCACTTCATTTGCCCGTGTGCCTTCTATACTTGGTAACATAATGCCTTTAATCAATTTATCATGTCTAAGTCTTACAGCCATTATTTCTGTTGCAATGATAAATAATAGTGCGGATAGAGGGCAGCCTTGTTTAATGCCTCTGTTCATTTTAAAACTACTTAAACACCATTCATTATCCATAATAATACATACTTTCGGTATCACAATACAAAACATTTACCCACTTAATAAAATATGTGCCAAAGTTTAAATGTTCCAACGTACTAATCAGGAAGTCTCTGTTGACAGTATCAAAAGCTTTAGTAAAGTCTACTCTAATCAGCGCCCCTCTGGGCTTTTAATATCCATATATTCGATCACATGTTCTATCAGCCTAATATTTTCGCCGCCAAAACGGCCTTCAATTTATCCCTTTTGGTCACTACTAACTATTTTTATTTTTTTATAACTTTTTGTAATCTTTTTGTTAAAAACTAATGCGGCAATATTATAGTCCACATTTAGGAGAGTTATTATAGGTCTCCAATTGCTTAAATTTTCATGTTGACCCTTTTTATAAATTAAATTTATTATCCCTCTTCGTTGTGAATTTGATAATTTTCCCATTTCTAAACACCAGTTTAATGAGTTACATACTAAGTTATCTATTTTGGGCCAGAACGATTGATACAACTGACTCAAGGGCTTTATTGGCTTTCATATTTCGTATTGCTTTTTCGCATTCATGGATGGTTATTTCTCCATCACAACATTGTTGTTCAGGAATTGTTAGTTTAGATGATTTTGTTAAATTTAAATATTCATGAATTTTAGTCTTACTAAATAAATTAGTATATTAGCATATATAAATTCTTGAAATTTTGTACTTCTTCGGACAGAATGTCTTTGGTTTTTACAGCGTATGTTCCATCAGACCTTCTGATTTTTTTTTTCTGATGTCTTTTTTTACCATTATTGTTTTCTATTCCTAGGAAGTGTTTTGAATTTGTTTCACCTTCTTCTACCAATTTCGTTCGGGATCGTATTTAGCTTTAGATTTTTCATAAGGCCATTCACAGTGAACACTGAATTATCTAATGTCGTTTTTCTACCCTTTTATTGTATAGATTATTCTGAATACAATTCATGTCTCCTCCAACAATAATATATTGCGTGTCGCAACATTTTTGGATGTGCTTTTGGAGAATTCTAAAAAGTAACTCCGTGATTTACTGTCATTCGGCGCATGGACATTTACTAACGTATATTGAGTACCACAGACTTCGATATTTAGAATAATAAATCTACCTGAGCTATCAATTTCTTGATTTAAGCTTTGTAGTCTAGATATTTTCTAAAAAGAATAGATACCCCTCTGCTAAAGGAGGTGCCAAAACTATGGTACGCATCTCCCTCCCATAGACAATTATTTATATTTGTAAAAAAAAACTTTAACGGAATTCATATTCCGAACATTGAAAATAATTTGAATTTACAAATGTATTTGTTTTTATTTTACAAATTAGATCAGACACACGACACATGATTTATTTAATTTACAGGCCCGTAAGCAGAGAAGGTGCGATGGATAGCACCCACCCAAATTATTAAAGGTCCACATTATCAGGGGAAGAAAATTCGACACACCATCGCAATTTCCAGAAACTATCTACCGAAATACTGGACCAATCATACAGTACCAACTAGTTTCTAGAACTGCCTCTAATTCGGCAAGGCATTTTAATTGTATTTATACAATTTTTGAAGAATTTTAGGTGTTTTCCCCACCGCTAGCACGTCTGTGACTAAAATTTATTTTTTCATTAATATTATCTTTACTCCCGTTTAGGCCTATATCTGCCATTGTCGGCCATCAATAGAGGCGCCGGTAATCATAATTTTCTTACCCCAGCCCAGCCTCAACTCAACCATGGTGTTATAAACTTCTCTATTTCGAATTCTTGGATCCGCCACTGGTTACAAGTTGCGAATGTGCAAGCACTTCACAAAGATTACACACTTACCTGAAACGCTCGTGTTATTCGTATCAAAACAGCTGCAGAAAATATATTATTTGTTTTCCCGCTAGTTCCCAATCATATCAGAATAGATTTATCTTATTCATTCTCGGTTTAATATATTTTTGCCGTCTACCGCCATCTCATCACGACGAAAAGCACTTGTAACTATTCGTTCGTATTCGAAATTCTCATTTATTCAATTTATTTATCATTATCGGAAATTTAGTATTTTCAATGCCCAATAATATTATGGGCTTGTTTTCATTGTACGCTATAGGCCTACATTATTTTCTTTCGCTTGAATCTAACAATGTTTTATTTAAATTGTGCTATAATTGTATATAGCCCTTAAGATTTAATAGTATTTTGTCACATGCTGTAAAAAATCAGAAACATCACGATAGTGACACGATACACATATAGGCTATTTGTATGTCCAATAGGCCTATCTAAGATATATTTTACTGGACCTCGCTTTATTTACGAATCTTAGCGTGTCATTTTCGACCATCTAGGGGTACCACAATTAAAAATGTTCTTACCTCAGCCCCAACAATGGTGGGGGTGAAGTGATATGAACCCTCCATCTGTGAAAATTCCTTAGCCCTCATCCCATTCATTTCCTAAGTCTGTCACTGAAAAAAACGTTCAATACTGTTGATATTGAATTATCAAAATGTCGGCACGCGGGCATAAATCTGCAGTCTCTAGCAAATTTGGTCCACTCGCCACATAACAAATTCGCACCAATTCAATAAAAACCCTGTGTACGGGGCTGTTTTATTTATTTATTTATTCTGCCTTTAATATGATAAATCTTTCAGTAACACAGCACAGATCTCACTATCCCAAGTGGATCACATGAACAAGAAAATAAATGAAAACCTGAAAACAAAGTACGAAAGGAAAACAAAAAGATAAATTTGCTTAAGTGATTTCACGAATCATTATTCAGTACTTCGCTTGCTAACACAAAATTATCATACTCATCTTTCAATTGTTTTTAATTCTGTATACTCTTAACAAGAAACAAAAAGGTTAGACAATATTATGTTGGCATTTGTTGAACGCTTAACATAATCACACTGTTTAATTGTAAGAAGAGGAGTCAGGTTTTTTTTTTCAAAATTGATATTGAACAAATACTGACTGTTAAATATTGTTGAACTGAAAGGGTTAATAAAATTCATTTAATGTTATTATATACTATTAACCGATTCTTTTGAGTTTTCAAATTGATTTTTCTCATTTCCTACTAATGTGTACAGCCAGTTTAGTCTTCTGTCAGTATTTATCCAGACCCCGATATTGTATTCTATCAGTTTCATATGTTAAAACCTCTCTACAAATTTTGTATATTATGTAAATATAAGCTGGTTTTCCACATAAACAATATTCAAGAGAAGCAAAATCGTTAATTGACTGTGCAGGATTCACTTTCTAGATGTACGGATATGAATGTTATTGTTATCGACAACGATAACAATAATAATAACAATAATAATAATAATAATAATAATAATAATAATAATAATAATAATAATAATAATCCAACACTTTTATTGATTTTAATATGGTAATATTTATGATAACCTTTCTCACGTTTGTAAAGGGAATCCTGTACCAGGAATTTCCCGCCACTGTGAGAAAGTATTCACACTTTGTATGAAATTGGTGTTTACATTTTTAGAAATATTTCTATGTCATTGAAGTTGAGATAATAAATAAAGTTCCTAGTGTTCAGAAAATAAATAATGTTCCTAGT